TACTCCCTACAACTGTACAACAACTCACCCTTATGTAACGGATAAGCCTGTGTTTCTCACAGTCATGATATCATCTTTGCACTCTTTCCTTATGTTCTCTTGTAAATAACTGTGATATACTGTATTTACACTATAATAATTGTGAGCTGCTGTGTCCAAGGAATTTCCTTTGTGGATCAATAAAATCTGTCTAAGTAAAATACAGATATCTAAATGTTATACTTAAATACAGTACTAGTTACCTTCCACCACTGGATGTGGATTTTAAAATTTGAACCATTGCTCCAAACCGTGTGTAGTATCAGAAAATCTAGAATTATAAAGAAAAGGAAATTTAGGAAATTGTTTATTTCTTTTTAGTGGATGTTTTGCATGCTCCTGTTGTGATTTTTACATATTTGGCTTATTACCCTCACACCAAATTCGATTTGTATATTCTGCTGTTTATTACACTATCTTCAAAGATCTACGGCATGTTTATCCTGTTTGGCTGTTTTTATCGCCACCAGCTGCTAGCAGTGATGTTTTTTAGCAATTACTATACCTGATAGTCTGTGTCATTGCCATCCCACCATTTCACAGTCAATGACATTGGCAGGGATACACACTAAGGTGTTAGTGATGCATCAAGCAACACTGTCTCACTGCTATGAAACGGTGAGCGGATTATTTTTACACATCAACCAATATTATATCTCTAGACAATGAATAAAAACAAAGGCATTATGGCCACTGCTGAAATGGCAAATGTGCGCGTGTGTTCTAGCCTTGTGCCCTTGTTGCAAAGTGGCGGACTGACCTCTGTCTACATCTATAGTTGGATTATGTGTGCGCCACGATGGTTCTGCATGCAAACTCGTGTGTGTAAACATGTCAGAGTCCTTCAGCTGTACAGCCTGGACTTATAAGGAGACAGTCACCTTCATGCTGCGTGTGGAGAAACAAATAAATCACACACAGGTGGAAGATAGTCATTGGTGTGTCATCCCGTGTGACACCAAATATTAAATCAGATTACCATTCTGTGAATATATAATGCCATAGGGGGGATTTACTTGTTAGGGGAGGCAGCCAGGCAGGAATCCCACTGCACAACACAGTCCCCATTGCTCTGCCTTCATCCTGAGTCACCTCGCTTCAGGGTTTACCACAGGAACCTCTTCAAACCATCCCTTTAGACTTGGGGAATCAAGATTAATGCATTTCCACATCCCGCACGGCTACAGGTGAAGAAAGTCTTATAATTAACACCAGGGGGCTGTTTTTTGGAGTGTGCTGCAGGTTGGGGAGCTGGGGCCTCAGAAAAAGAGTTGATAAAAGTAAAAGATTTTTTCCTGTGTGATATATGCTGCTGTGAGCAGTAACAGAATGACCTGTCAGACACCTCACTCTGCCTTATTGTTATTGGGACAAAGTGGAGAGGCCTGCAGCAAGAGGTGATGCATTACTGCATCATTTATAGTATTCAGTGTGAGACACTCTGGCCCATCTCAAATATCACTCAGGGAGACATTTGAAATAACTATTTTCTCACATTGAAAAGTTGCGGATAACAGGGCTTATTCACTTATTCACTGCTAAAATGATCGTAGAATTACCCACTGGATTTAAATTGACGAAATCTACAACTCAGGCAATTGCAATATATGTTTTTACATTACCACCATTCAGGGAAGAACATTTGTCAAAATGGGTGCAAAACCTTTTGAGATTATACCATGCACATGGGTGTATTTTTTGAACAAACTTTTATTCTTTTCCAATTTATTTTCAAGTTTTACTCTGCACAAATCTAATTGTGAAACAGTTATTTATAAATGTTTTAATTTAGCCTCTTTATGCTCAGTGAACAAAATGTTAGATTTCTAAAAAAGTCAGGGAAATTTGGAAAGCAAAAACTCATCATTTTCCTGGATATGTGCTGTTTTTATAATAGCTTATTTAAAAATAAAATATTTACAGTATGTAAGAGACCAGTTAACCTTTCATTATCCAACAGATCTCTTCAAAGCACATGACTTTTTTTTATTGTCATTTAGTGTTTTTTTTTTTTTTTTAATCCACAAGCAGCCTCTGTTTTCCTCTGCCATTATCCGCCTACTCCTTGTTTATACATACCTCATTGTGAGGTATTGTCACTTGAGCAGTAATTGGTCAATATTTCCATCTAACACTGTTTTTATTAATGCCAATTAAATCATCTTTACATTCATTCAGCCTCTTCCCATTAAGGAGCCGCCCCCATTTTCAAAGGCAATTTATGCATTGTGGGCCGACGCAATTGTGACCAGTCCTGCACCATTAATCATACTGTAATCACATCAGCAGTGCCATACATTGTAATAATACAACCACAAAATGCTGCAATTTACATAAATACAAAGTTCAGGTGGCACAATCTGTACAATTGCTCTTCTTCTACTAGAACTGAAATAACTAATTTGATAACAAAATAAATCAAAAGTTGAATTAATGTTGCTCAGGTTTAGCCAGGTTTAGTCTGTCCCTACTGCTTTCTGAAAGAGACTTCCCTCTCCCATTCACATATACACATGGTCACTTTTATTCATCTTGAGTCTATTTTGACATTTTTACATATTACAGTTATTATTACTTATTAGTCTATTGAGAATCTCACTCTATAACCCAGGTTTGAAATTGTTTTTATGGTTTATACCTTTACATTATTTTCTTACATACTGTATCATGTTTCAGTACGTAAACTCAAGTTTTTCAGTTTAACAGTTAGAGAAAGATATTCTTCAGTTTAAATGATGTCTAAAAGTAGATCCTCCTTGTGTATGTTATACCTCATAATTAGCCATTCTCTCGCTACACTCTGTTTGATCATCTGGTAATAAAATTTAGTATCACCAGGGTCTTAGCAGCATGCTCATTATCCTGCAACTTCCAAGGTGATCTTCAAACATTCACCTCTTCAGTATACAGCTCAGTTTTACCATAATTACTCCTATAGCATGCCTGTTTTTTTCATATTTGTATACATTAATGGCTATGTAACCAATGAGGGAAATTAATTATGGTGCACTCGCATCTTGTAAGTGGGCTGAAATGGGGAGAGGGTGGATTTACAGTTGTTCATTAGGAATGCACCGTACTGTTGCCTGTGTCTCTCACTTGAACTGTCTCGTGTAACCAGGCTAAATTAGTGTGCAATCTCGTGTTCTTGCTGTAAATGAATCTGTCTATCACATCTTGTCTCTTTTGTTTATTGAGTGAGTTTGTCTGCTCCTCTCCTTGTTCACAAGACAAAGTGAATGTTTAGCATTTTAGAATGGATTTTACTTATTATTTGATTTTAAATTTGCTTATGAATATTTATCGTGGATACTTTTTTGTACTAGGATTTATTTTTTTTTATTACTTTACCTACCATTATATTTGAGGTGTAGAGGGTTCATAAATAAGTTCTATGACTTTATCCAAACTAGCTACTGTTTTAAGTTTTCATTTTGCTCATTTAGAATAGTAATCTGGGGATAATCATTTAGTTTCAACATTATCATTTATCACCTATATTTTCTTCAGTAATCAGAATTTGTTATTGTGACAGGCCTACTTTCAAGTGAGTATAAAGATAGGTGTTTTTAGTGCACCTGACTGCAGTAGTACTAAATGAGTAGAGGGCCACTTGAAGGCACATGTGTGGTAGTGGTGTAGTGTTTGTTCTTGGGAAGTTACCAGCCTGTTCACAGTGTGCAAATGAAAGCAGACAGTCTAAATGTAAAGTAAAGTAAAATACACTAAACTCCTCTAACACAGGTTTGTAGTTGGTAGAGAAAGCAAAACTTCTAACTTTAAGAAGAAAACGCACCTCAGCTTCATATATCTTTTTGCCTGTTGTCGAAGGGATCACAGTTTGGTGGAGGTATAAACTGGTAACATTTAGTAAGACAAACTGAAATGTAAACCACTCTGCCACTGCACAACTCACTCCTTGTGTTTTCTTAACTTGGCGTTTGACAACTGTTACTTTACTAAGGGGCAAATTTATCTAGTCTTTCCAATTAGGAGAGCACTTCTATCACTACTATACAGATTGAGTTAAGTGGCTTGAATAATGTACCTCGACACGACCTCCATGCATAAAACCTACTATACTACGTTTAAAACCTTGCAAGAAGGAGAGCTTCATGTGTGACATATAATTAAATTCCACCCGCTAATTCAAACTGTTTAATGATGCAGGGAGAACCATTTATTTCAGCAGGCTCTACAGCAGGGTGGTCCATAGGGACCAGCAGTGAGGAGCAGGTTTATTAGAAAGTGCTTCAGAGGGCTAGTGCCACAGAGGGAGAGCAAATGGCTGTACTGCTCTTAGACACAAACATATCTGTTGATCAATGAATAAGTTGTATCACAGTTTCCAAATTGCCTAATGATCACTGACTGCATACAGCTCACCTCATCATAGATGTAGATGTTGGTAAATGACGTAAGGAGTAGGTTGTTCCTGCAAATTTTGCCCCTTTCTTTTTCCATTACCAGTGAATGAGTATGTGTTGAGTGAGTGACTGTATTGTTGTCTGTTTGTGTGTTGTCCACTGCATGTCACCTACCTCTTATAGTGCTTTTGTGATTGATTCAGCAAATGATTAAAACAGGGCTGGACTTTGACTTTCTGGTTTAATTTAACAACTTTTTTTTTTTAGCTATATATACTGTATAATTTTTACTGTGCAGATCTTCAGACTTCAAATTTTCACCAGCCCTGTGCCCTGGTGCTCGCACACACTCATGAACTTAGCATTATTGCATTATCAATATTTTAACCAAATGATACCCAATGTGTTATAATATATTTTATTAAATTTGTGTATTTGTTGTAGTATATATACATTTTTGCATTGCATCTCTTTGGTAAGCTGTGGATCATTCCAAACTGTCACCCAATGGCCTCTACTGTTTTTAAAGGTAATAGCTTCTCCCACGGCGCACAAGCTGACATTCTGTTTTGTGTTTCTGTGTGTTTTTTCTAGATGCTGGCACCAGGCAGTGGCTAGCAGATGAGTCTGGCGGGTAATCCCAAACCACCTATCTATCAACCTGGAGACTATTTCCAGCTTCCCCTACAGAATGTCAAAGCCTCAGCGAGCAGAAGATGAGTCCATCATTTCTCTCAAAGACTTTCCTCTCGAGTTTCCATCAAAACACATAAACTCATCACATACCATTATTTTTCCATTATCCTCCCCCCTGTCAATGGTGAGCCAGCGGCGAATGAGCGAGTTCACTTCTATTGTATGCAGGATGCAAAGGAGATCTACACAATGTGACAGACTGCTTTGGCTCTGAATGGCCTCTGATGGGGCTGGTGCCAGAGATCTTGGCTCTAATGGGAAGCGAGACACTTAAAAAGAGATGACCCTGCCTTTGTTGCCATCACTGTCTCTTTGCCAGAGAGGGAGTCCAGCTCTTCTATTACTCCTGCACTTGCTAATTAGCGTCTGTCACTAGAGTAACTTGTACCTGTCAGTGCTCGCTGCTCTCCTATATTCACTAACTTGAGGCAATTGAAATTGAATGCCAGCTAAGCTCCAACAAACTGCAAATGGTGCATGGGATACACCCTGATTTCCACACTGGCCTGACAGCCTCATATGTATGAAATGGTTTTAATGAATGAACCATTATGTAAACAATTTTTTGTTACAGTTGTACAATCCTGGGTCACACTTTACTTTGCAGTACCTGTTACGATGTAACAACATGTCATTACATGGTAGCAGGGGTTAAAGCAGCACTGTGTAAGGTTTTGGTGGTGCCACCTTCATGACTTCATAGAGTTAACTTAAAATCAAACTTTGGAACAAGCAGTTGTGTAGCATTAAGCGCTTTGTGTTGCATTATTGTATGAAAAGTGCTCTATAAATAAAGTTTGATTGATTGAACATTCACCAGAAAACTTAAGTCTGTAGAGAGAAAAGTCTCCTCACAGCAAGAGAGTATGTTTTTAAGTGCAATACAAAACACCAATGATAAAAAAAATTGCTTTTTGGGTTAAAGAGATCAGGTTGCATGTTATTGTTACATGTTGTTACATGGTACTAGATGAGGTGGATACATTAAATTCAAGGTACTGTAAAATAAAGTGTTACCTAATCTTTTTATATAGCTCTGTGCTGACGATTGTTATGTTGTGTTTTTGGTACTTGAGCTGCCTTTGCCTTCCATCCATTTATGATTACCAAAGCCATTTGTGTCAAATAAAACAGTGCCTATTTACATTAAAGAGACAGAGTGAAAGTGCCTGGCCATTGGTAATTATTGGTCCTATTCCCAGGGCCACTTTGTGCTCACTGAGCTAGAACAAGGTCCAGTTTATTACAGGCATTTCTGCCCCACAGGATTAACCAGGCTGCTCAAATTCATCTCTACACTTTCCATTAGGAAGAATTTTCCACTGACTAGAGTCAAGACTATTCTACATAATAAGCCAAACACAAATTATGGTCTGGTTAACACAAACATTTCATTTGCATGTAGATCAACAGTGACACGCTGACGCATTCCCAGTTAGACACAGTCCTATTTTGAGGCTAATCCTGCTTTTGTTTGCACATGCTCAGTCATCCCAAACATTTGACTTGTTTTAAATAATGGCTTTCCTTGTGATTGTTTGTCGCTGTCACATTGGAAATAGATATCTTCGCAGACTAATGCAGGGCTCCTGGCTTGTGTGTGAGAGGAGAGTGCTCAAACTGCCTAAGCTGGATGAGCCACTGACAAAATGTGCACATCTCTGTACAGTAGCCCTTGACCTTGCCAAGTGTCCTCGTGGCCTAGACACCTGTCTGAAATGAAATGACAGATTAGTGGCTCCAAGCCTGAACAGGGGCTTATTTGGAGAGGCACTCATTTCTGTGGAGAAAAAAAACATCATGGAATCTAATGTTGGAATGTCACTCTTCCAGATGTATTTTTTCTATATGATTTTGTCAATAGTATTAGGGGCGTGTATAAAAATAATGACGTTTATAATGAAAACACTTTTTAATCTGATAAACTCAGCTGCCTTGACTTGAATCCTCACAGTGCCTCTATTTCTGTTTCCACAGTGAATACACAATTAAAGAATAATTGTGAGACCAAAGGAGCAAATGCCAAACCCTCATTAATTCAGAAGTCTGTCAAGCCTCCCTCAATAGCCTAATTCCAAATTAAAACCACTGCTGACTAAATTGAAATACAAATGACCATCAATCTGCATTAAAAAAAAGAAAAAGAAAGAAAGAAAGAAAGAAAGAAAAGCTATGCAAAGTGCACTACAACAGAGCTCCAAACTTTATAAGATACAGAAAATGTATCTTCTTTATGGGCTCTACCTTGCCTTGGTTTTAAAAAGTAAAGGTGTTATGCAAATGTATTTTCTATAATGAAATTATATATAACTACGCAATAATTTGATGTACAACAGTGGTTTTACACACGTTGCATACTCTAACAGCTCCTCTGAGATTGATTGAGGTTAACTTTCTTTCTTATATCTCATTAAGTGTACTGACATTTTTAGTACTTCGAAAAAGTATTGTTCAAGTAGAGGTATTGAAAATTAGATTTTGTGTTGAGTCTAGGTACTGAGAAAATGAAAGGTAAAGCTCCAAGCTTCCACCCCTGAGGCTCCAGGTCCTGGGTCAAGTGTTTATTTCAGAAACGATCAGAGTACACCTGCCATGCAAACCTCTGCTGACCCACTACCTGCTCTGCATTTGGCTTGGTTTAGTTTGTTATTTAGTTTGAGACTTGTGATTGTAAATTTTTTTAAATGTTTTTTTTTTTATGCTTAGCTGATATAAAAATGCTTGTAAAGTGGCAACAGCAAACAGTGTGTTATTCTGAAAGCTCACTTAACACACAGACCATTTCAGCATATACTATCAGTAATGGTGCATAACGTTTTTATGATGGCCTAGGTTTCGCTCCCTGCTTAAGTAAACCCTGCCAGCATTTTATACCATGTTTTATTTCTCTTGAGGATCTTTAATGCTATGTATTCACAAACTCCAGTGAAGATACAAATAATGCATACATATTTTAAAGGGTATGCTGTAGCTGATGGAAATAGATTTATTAAATTGTCATGTGCTGAGGTGTGGACCAGTTTAAAGTTCAGAAAAAAAAGTTTATTTCATGGTGTGGTGTATAATATATATTATAGATAGCAAATAACTAGTAAAAATCAACACCGCCTTTCATCCTCTTGGCCTACCTTTTAATATTCATTTCTTATAGGTAATCATTTTGAGTGTAATCAGCCTAAACTCAACTCTAAACAAGCATCATGATCCACTCACTGTCCTCTGTTTACCCAGCAGGTTTCCAGGGACATATTTGGGTTTGGCTTTGAAAAAAAATCTTTCATTAGATGAATCACTCTTTAAAAATGTGTATGAAGGATATTTATAGCAGATTAGAAATTCATGTGTTTTTTTTCTTCATGTGCTTGATTTGTTGATCTGTTATTTGGCATGCTAATCACACGATAATTTGGCATATTTTCACACCAGGTGCCCTGTCTGTTGTACAATAATTAGCAAACAGTGAGTTAAGTGTCTAGCCTTTGAACTTCTTACCTGGAACAAAATATCTATTGAGATTCCTATCACACTCTTGATCGAAATGAGGCCCTTGAGCCAATATATAATGGTGGTCTGGTGTTCCTGGATATCTCACAAGTGTCTGAGGAGAGCACATCTGCACTGCAACTAACAGATGTGTGAATAATCGCTGAACTAATCACTTGGAATCAACAGCATTTCCTGCCATGATGTTTGTACTTACAAGATGGAACAAAATTTGAATGTATTCTCTGCCACCAGAAACATGCTCATTTTACCACACATGGATTTGCATAATTTCCATACAGGGGTGAAGGTGCCCCTGCCCTTGTTCTGTGTGATGCTCATATAAGACCTTGACTGCCAAAATTAGCATTGGAGTTATTTTTGGGTGCTGCAAATTAATATGTAACCATTAGCTGCCTGATTTACCAGTTAAGTTCATGTGCAGCTTGTCCAGATTAATGAAAACTGTGCTTTTATGTGAGCGAAGGTAACGCATGGTCAAGGGCACTTTGTTTATATGGGGTAAAAGGTGCATAGCTGGCACATGGAAACAAAGACACTTACTTGGGTGATTTAAAAATACATAAAGGTCCAAGATAACACCAGATAGATTCTTCTTGAGCATTTAGCCATGTTGTGATGTTGTTATCTTCTCAAAAGCATCTCTGGAGTTATGTTTAGTTTCATTCACACATGTTTGAGTAATCCTTTATCCTTTATCCTTAATCCTTCATCTCCAAAGCTCACCTTGTGATGTCGTCAAGTTTCAAGTTAACAGTTACCTTACACTTTTTGGTCAGTAGAGATTAGCAATTCCAGGTCTGAAATGATCCAAATGATTCTAGTAATGGTATATGAAGTTTAAAAGCACAATGGAGATGGTGAAACAGGGGTTCTGGTATTTTCTGTTTGAAAAAAGAACTCAGCCTAAATATGCAGGGTTTGTGTGTTAAACATGTGTGAATGAAACAAAACACAGCTCCAGGTCTGTTTCTGATGAGGAAACAACAGTATAACAGATAAAAATTATAGGTCTTTTAATTTGGATAGATATGATAAACTGTAAGACAGTATATGTATAGCACCAGGTGGCTATTACAGTGAACATAGAAATGAAAGCCTGCTCATTTATTTCAAACTGTATGTAACTGGTAGTAGTTCAATCCCAGGTGGATATTATTTGGGTCATAGTTTCCCTTTGTGTGAAACAATTTTTTTTTTATTATTATTTATTTATTTTCTAAATTTTAAAGCATTTTTTTTCTTTCTTTTTTTCTTTCTTCTTTCTTTCTTTCTTTCTTGCTTTCTTTCTTTCTTGCTTTATTTATTTATTTAGCTGATTAACTATTGTATCTACATGATTATATTGTAGGTTGTCGTTTTTGTATAGTTTAGAAATCAGGTTTTTGACCTGAGGAAGATTCTCCTTGGATCACCAGATTGTCCTAAGAAATGTTGTTTTGCCAGACTTTCTCTTATTTTCTAATTCACATGTTTTACCTGTTATCTTATTTTCATTTTAAATTTTTTCAATTTTGATTTATTTATTAAAGGTCCTATATTATGCCACATTGACTCTTGTGGGCTTTAAGCCATGCTAGAATGTTGTTACCTCATAAAAAACATACCTGGAGCTTTGTTTCATTTACACATGTTTGAGTAACCCTTTAATCTCTATACATCTTCAAAGCTCAAAATGGTCTGTTCCACCTTGTGATGTCATAAAGTAGTAGTTTTCAAGTTAACAGCTACCTTTTACTTTTACTTCAGAGAGACTGGCAGCTCCACGTCTGAAATCATCCAAATGATTCTAGTGAAGGTCTATGGTGTTTAAAAACACAATTGAATTTGTATATAATATAGGACCTTTAAAAAATAAATGTTGTTAATGGACGCTGTTTTTGTAATCTGAAATTGTTTAAAAATGTTTTTGAATGAGACAATGTTCATTCTTTCAATAGCCCCATGTCAAGGTTTTGATTCTTTTGGCAGTCATCAATCCCGTCACAAACACCACCTGAAATAATAGGGGGAAGGTGAAGTTTCTATTTCTTCTTTACACAGGCACATGCACGTGATTTTTAAATTGGAGATGGTAAATTCCTCCAGTCAATGGTTAAAATGGAAAAGGAAAAACTACAAATGCAAAACAAAACACAACAAGTCACCATAGTGTGTTGTTGCTTTTTGTGTTCATTAGAATCACGGGGGGATTTTGATCTTGCCTCAAACTAACCACGACTCCTGAGGTGCGTTCTGGTGAGAGCAGGATAATATAAAGGTCAGCTGGTTGCAGATCATTATTAAAAATAAACATCAAAGACCCTGGGGTGCAGCCAGGGAGGATAAAAGTGCGGGCCTCTCTCCTGCTCTCTCTGCAACATCCTTTAGGTAGCTTTTAAGGTGGAATTCCCTGGAAACAGCGGTCAACATCAAAAGACTATGCCTTCAATAGTGTTAAAGGCTAGAATGCATGTTAGAGAATTATTCATCAAAATACTTGGCCAAACTCAACAAATCTAAATAGAATTCCCATCGAAAATCCTTCTCTTGTGAAATAATAGTCTTAATTTTACCCATGTGGGTTCAAATGGTTCTCTCTGATTTAATTTGCAAGCATTGGCAAGCAAGAAACTTCAAACACATTTAAGCGTATTTTTATTGTGTTACTCACCAGAGAACTGA